GCCAGGGGATCTCAGCTCCCATCAGCTAACACGGAGCCAGACCAACCATCCACATACAGGACAGGGCCAAGCAGACAAACTGAGCAGTTTACTGTGTGCAGCTGAGAAGACATGCTGTGTAACTATTACAGATCAAGCCAAACATGTGGTTGGGGAAGACACAGAAGCTATTTCAAAACCAGATGTAAGTCCCAAGTCATGTAAACTCACTTGGCGTGGGAGTTCTGCACACCACTTGGCATTGCCACAGTGCTCTGCGAAAGCTTTGAGTGATAAACAGCGTTGTGGAGGGACTGCACAGAACAGCAGGGAAAACGGAGAAAATCATAGGAAAGAGCTTCAGCTACAAACACATCAAGGGGATGTTTCCTTTGGTGAGGCCAGATGCACACCTGCAGAAGAGAACCTGCCTCTTCTGAGTGTACCTGGAACCAAGAGCTGCAAGGAAGAGAAAGAAGATTGGGGTGAAGGAGCTCCAGCTCTTGACAGTTGTCCCATATGTCTCATTCAGTTTAGTGGAACGTGAGTATTTTATTTTTTTAAATAGCTTGACAAACTCCTGACTGGTTCTGGCTGCATTCTCTATAGACAATAATGGAATTAGACAAAACTACTTTTTAAGTGACAGAATTACCTACTTACAATTCAGTTTAGAAGTTTGTAATTACTAGATTGTATTGCTTCAAAAGGAAAGCCAAGTTTGAGCTCTCTGGTAAACCTTGCTCGTTTAGCATTTTAGCAGAATTAACATTTTTAAATACTTCAGTACAAAAATACTTGTGACATTTGTATCATCGTCCAAACACCGTTCTGGTGCAGCATTCTCAGCAGTTCAAAGCTAGTTTCAGACCTAGATGGATTAATCTTGTCTCTGTCACTTGCTCTTCTAGATCTGGACTTTGCTGTTATAGCCACAGTGGTACTCGTTCAGCCAGGACCTGGATACCTCTGGTCGAGCTCTTCATTTTAGATTTAGCTCTCAAGGTGTGGACAAGAGGGAAGGAAGTGGATATGGCTTATGCCAGCTCTGATTAGTACAAATAAATGGGACTTTAGTCCTCTGTTGCTGTCAGGCTACCTTTATAGAAAAAAACAAAAATCCTCCTTCCTTACAACTGAGCATCCACTCTATAGTAAGAATTATGGTGTCTCTTGAAATTAACACCATTTAACAGTATTTAGGCTGTCATCATTGATGAAAACATGAGTTTTGCAACAGATCCTCTAACACTGCAAGATGTTTTGGCTGCTGCTTGGTTTTCTTTCTTTTGGAGGCTGATCAAAGAGACAAAAGGATGGCTTCAGGAATATTTATATGACCATGGTAATTATATCAAGCGATTTAGACAGAAATGCTAAAATGCTTCAGGTCTTCATATTCAGTTCTGTGCTAGAGTGAAGAACAGTAAATAAAAGTGCTTGACTGTTTCTCACTGGACAAATTCTCTGTACTTGCAGACTGTCACAACTGGACATTGATGGCCACCTTGCTAGGTGCTTGTCTGAGAGTACAGATGATGTAACGTGGTAAATCCTAAATCCAGAAGAATGAAGAGCAAAGGAACAAAGCCAAGGAGGAACCTCTCTCAGAGGAAAAGGAAAAATGTGTGTGGGAAGCACATCCTTGTCTCAAACCAGTCACCTAGTAGAAGACCAAGGGCCACATGCCTGCTCAGGGTCATTTTCTTTTAAATCCTCCCAGATGACAGGTAAAGTAGTTCTGGTTCCAAAAGCAGTGCTCTGGGCTGTCCCAGACACCCCCACAGGGCAATCAGTGTTGGTACTCCTGGAGTCTGGGGACTTCTGAAACAATGTAGAATTGTAAATCCCTGAGGGACCTGTGTTGTTGATGCTCCAAAGCTCTTCTGAGTGTAGAATAAACCAGCTGAACAGAAGATAACTTATTTAATGCAATCCAGAAGTTCACAGACCTTTTCTAAACAGGTAATCTGTAAAAATAAGTGTGAAGTTATTAAAACTTAGCATCTTTAACATTTTAGTAAGAATGTATATGATTGTACAGTTGATTCTCTGAGTGTATCTACATTAAAAGGAAACACAGAAACCCAGACCAAATAAAGGCTGTGAGTTTTTTATCTTTCTGAAGGAACACAGCTGAATTCAGAGCCTTATGTTGGGGGTTTCTACATTAACATGACTAGGCTAAACTAATTGGGTTCCAGTAAGAGCACACTCCTGCCAGTTCCACGTTACTGTGATGCAAAGCAAGATTTAATGCAGTCAGTCAGCCAAAACAGCTGCTTTTTGTATCAGTTCCACCCCACCTGGATACCATCAAGGTTTGGGAATAAAGAATAAATGACATCTAGTGATGGTTTAGGAATGAAGTAGAGTGAGTTACTCCTTTACCCCAAGTACAGTCAGTTGTTTACAGACCAGGGTATACTACTTGTGCCACACAGTGTTGCCAGTCGCAGCCTCAGCTCACATCTGTTTCCTGTCAGAGGGCTGTATCCAAGAGCAAAACTGTTGTGCCCATTCCAGCTATTCCAGTCACAACTGCCTTCACCCAGGGAAGAAGAGTGCAACTCCAACTAACTACTTCAGCATCCAGTTTCCTATCTCAGCAAACCCCCTGGTTTGGGTGCAACCCTGTGCCACAGAACATATATGGAATACAATATCCAAGTACAGGATGAATCCTAGAGATTCAATTCACAATGCGGTCTCTCCCAAAAGTACAAGCGGAACTCAGCTCCAGTTACTGAGAAATAATAACAGTGTATCAGCTTTTTCATTAAAGTCTTTAATAGATGTGCAAGAATATAAATGATCTTAGCTGTTAGGGATTAGTATACCATCTTCTGCACAATTAAAACTGGTCAGCAAAGATCCCAACTAATTAATTATACAAAACTACAAGAACATATTTACTGTTTTACAATCATTAGATTAGCTAGATTTTTCATTTACTATTTCAAATAGGACAACTATATATCATTACCAGATCCATTTGTAATATATTAGGATTTGTTTTTCGAAACCACACATTTAATTACATCCTTCATTTTCTTTATTTATAAAACAAGTACTTTATATAAAAAAATTCCCCCTTTATCAGGAACAGAAGGTTATTCAAACACTTGCACATGAGCAACCAAACTTGTATCCAGCAAACTATTTGGCAACACAGCAACATTGTAAATGCTTGTAAATCTTTGAAATAAAATCAAGTAGTCTTTACAATGTTTTTTAGCAAATGTGTCTTCCTGTTCTTCCTTCCCTCCCTCCCAAAATGTTCCAAAACCTAGAAAAAAGGTTAAAAAAAACCACCCAACCCACATTTTTAATATTTCCATTTTGAAGTTCTCTGCCCTGTTGTATCACAGGGCAGCTGATCTGTCACAGTCCAGGCATGAGCTGCCTGCAGTCACTCGGATAACTACTGGTTAGTTTTATTACCAGGGGAGTTGAAAACACCAAAGAAAAATTATTCAGGGTAAATAAATTACCAGGGGTGGAGGGGGTGGGGGGTGGGGGTAGTAATTATAAACGGTCAGATTACATTTAAAAGGTAAATGTTTCCTTTAGTAGATAATAAAGTATCTCAAGTCCAGGCATTTGAGGCTAGTACTTCTTACCAGTTAAATTATTTAGTGCTGATTAAAACACATTTTGCTGAATATGAAAAGCTACAGTCCAACAGAGAAACCCACAGCTGAAACCTGAACGGGATCAACACAACCACCACAGGCTGTGTGCTGGTGGGGAAGGAAGGGATACAAGCACAGATTGTTAATCAGTGATTCATTGAAAATTTGAAACAATGTTTTGGCAGTCTTGTCCTAGCACCTCATGACCTGGATGTGAATCCAAAAGATGTCATGTTCAGCACCTAATGCAATGCTGTACCCTGAGAAAACCAGATGTGAATGGAAAGAAAGCCAAAGTGTTGCAATTCATCCTGCAGCTTACACCAAGTCAGGTGAGATGTCATGGCATAAGGGCTTGGTTTGGTTTTTTTTTTTTTAACTTCCACATAATTCCGGCCTCCCCCACCCCCATCTCTACACCCACATCCCCAGACCTCGCAAGAAGCAGCACCTCTGCTACTGGTGCTCCCAGAGGCAGGTACATCTTCACAGCACTTGAAGCTCCAGATAGACACTCCCTAACCTCAAACACAGGGAGGTGAGCTTCTCCAAGCGGATAGATTATGATGTAACACAGCCTGTCCCTGCCCCCAACACCCCCCACTTCCCATGAGAAGGGATTTGATAGAGCTTTTGCTTTATCCAATTTCTTACATATTTGTTTTCCATCCATTTAAAAAAAAAAAAATAAAAAATTACTACTTTGATGCAAATCATTTTACCAAAACTTCCCATTCTCTTCTGTAGAATGGAGGTTATTAATAAACACTGAGTAACTGGAAGCAGACAGTTTATCCGAAGTAGGTGGTGTGCTTTATCAGGAAACTGTATTCTAGATTCTGGTTATTCTAGATTTACTAGTTAGACTTTAAGGCTATGCTTTATTACACTTTTGCTCTATTTCTGAGTATTTGTATGAGTGACAAAAATACTTTTCAAAAATGTAACAGACAACTGTAGGTGTAGGCACTGCTTAAGTCTTTTCCTAACTCCTTTGTGTGCAAATTTAGTTTTCTTCAATTGAAACATTTTGGTAAATTTGGAGTTTTAAGACAACAAATTTAGAAATCAATCTGCAAATTCTAATTTGGAATTAATATTGCTGAGTCACTCTGCATTTCAAATCCTATAAAGATGCCAACAAACATGAGGCTGCAGCTGAGAACTGTTTTGTTCACGTGTTAATAGCCACTTAATATTAATGAGCAGAACTTACCAGGTTTAAGAACGTTCCAAATACGTAATAATTCTTCAATGCAGTTTATCCATTTAGGCACTTAAATCTTGTACCCAAATTTATGTTTTGATTGCTAATAAAACACAACTCCTTTTAAAGATATCTGAGATGTTTAGACAGGTACCACTTGTGAAAAAAGGCATAAAAAATAAGCTTCAACACCACCGTAATGTATTTTATTCTTCAGGATGTTACACTGTAATACTCTTCAATTGGTAGCTCATTGCATCAAGTGTTTGTAGGAAGTGTGTGGGTCTCAAAGTTTTCCAAAATCTCCTTTTCCAGGGATGCAATGAATGTCTCAATCCTTCATGAAACAGGCACAAAATGCAAATTCCTTCATTAATGAAGCCAGTTGTGTCAGTGCCCACAACTTAAGAATCACCAAGTGGCAGAAGACACCCACCAAAATCATTGTTCTCTTCTTTGATTTTCAGCAGCAATTTGTTGGGGTTTTTTTTTTAACCATTGGTCTCCATCCAAAATGTTACAGTTCCCCAGCCTCGCATGCATATACTGTGGTTAAGGATTAATTAAAGGTCATTCGCACTGTCCACAACAAAGATGTCATTCCTTCATACCGTTTCTTCTGTTGACAGCAACAATGGATTAATGTATTCAAATCCTTCAAACTCTGACTGATCTATTCGCTTTATTATATCTCTGAAAAAACAAACAAGAGCATTGATTTAGTTTTATCAAGTGCAAATGCTGGTTTTTTTTGCTGTACTTGTTCTTCAAATAACAAAATACTTCACAGAAATGTATGTATGTGAAGTTGTACAGAAACAACACTAAATGGGGAGAAATACATTATTCATTATTATATGCCCCATCCCTGGCAGTGCTCAAGGCCAGGTTGGACACAGGGGCTTGGGGCAACCTGCTCTAGTCGAAGGTGTCCCTGCCCATGGCAGGGGTTGGAACTGGATGAGCTTTAAGGTCCCTTCCAACCAAACCACGCTGTGATGATGATGATCTGATGAGAACCTTCATCTGATGATGAAGGGCAGTTTCTTCTGCCTTTCCAGTTCAGATGCTAACAGCAGTAAGTAGCACTTATAAGGCCCTTAAAGCAGCAATTAATAGATGACTGTTGTTCTGTAATTCCAGTTTAAAAATAAGAAACACTGTCAGCGTAGGCTGCTCATGTTACATGCAAGATAAATACTGTGAAAGAGTCAAGCACAAAGCTAATTCTTTTTGATTACAAAAATGCAGCTGGTTGGATCAGGAATTGAACTTCTGTCTTCTCTCAGTGCCCAGCACACACTCAGCAGCAAATCAACCCTGTACCCCCATCTTACGTTAGAATAACGGGCAGTCTCCTACACACAGTAAGCATGAGAAGTTATATGCAGGATACAAAGAACATCAAATTTACTTCAGCTTGGCTATGTTCTAACTACAGAGTCTCCTCTTAGTAATTTTCAAGTAATTTATAAACTGATTTCTCAATATGCAATTACAGTAGGGGAAAAAAACCCAAAGCCCATACTCATCATCCGGGGTTAGCTGCACAGGCTCGCTGGTGAACTGTGTGTCAAAATTATCCAGACCATAATCATCTGTGATCTGAGGCTGGAACGGGGGGGTGGTTTGCTTCTTCTCCAGCTAAGATACAAACACAAACAGGGGAGAGGGAAAGTTAAAGTACTGAATATTCATAAGGTTCCCACAGAACATCCACACACACATTGGCTCTAAAGCACATGCACAGAGCAGTCACTACAGTGGAGCTGAGTATCGGCAGAAGACAGAAACATGTTAAATATAATCTGACATTAAGGTTTAGACCATTTTGACACTAAATGGTATATCCTCATCCTGTTTATCCTGTTGCTGTATTTTAAATACAAAGCCTTCAAAAATCACTAGAAATAAAATGTTAAGACTTACAGAAAAGAACAGACCTCATGTATGAAATAATCGAAAAAGGTGGTCTTGGCACTTCCCTGAATGCTGTTCGGCCATCCTATATGCACAGTGAGGAATCTAAAGTGTTCTTAGCTGAGCCACACACAGCTCTGATGACTAACAAGGGAGGGGGAAAAAATAAAATAAAAACCGTGTTCACCTTTATTTTTCCCTGTAACTCAAGCTTCACACAGAAAAAGATTTTTAGTCAGTGTTAGACTCTTGTTTCAACTTGAAAAGATTTGGAAAAGCTTTTAAGTCAAAATCTTTTCTACTCATCACCTGCATTTCAAAGAAAAGTCTAATAACTAAAGAAGCTTTCCAAATAATTTTTCATTTTCCTCTGAATGTATTTCCCAACGCTCTTAATTAGAAGTTCAGCTGAAAATGTATCTGGCATGAGAACCTCCTGGGCAGCACTGTCCTAACCAGACCATAAAACAGAACCTCTGCAGAAGAGAACACAACACTGCAGCACATGATGCTCATGCTCTACAGAATCTCAAGCAAGCTGCACTGTAGCACCACAAGGTTGTTAACCCCAACATTTAGGCTTGAGGGAGAACACAAACCAAGGGATGTCTGACAAAATTAAAGACAGTCTTTGTTATGGGAATAACTGTGTAAGCACTGGCTCCTTATGCAGTGAATGTCTTCTCTGAAGAATGCTAACAGGGATGGTCTGAACATCATGTTTCCAAAGAAAAATGTAATACAAAGTTTTATGTTCTCCCCTGAACCTCTTTAATATTACTACAGGCCTGTTCCCACACACCTGTAGACTTCCTAGGACTGTAAAAACATCACAGGCATATTCTCTCCCTGTTCAACTGGGTATTAAAAGCCACAATGCTGATAAGGCACTGTTTCTGACTTGTTTTATTGCTCAAGTGTCAATAAACGTAACAGTGCCATTTCTGTGACGGTTTTCTACCATAAAGGCAGAAGTAGACAAAATTGCCAAGAGAAGGTTTTAAAAAACAATTTAATTTTATGCTTGCCAAACCACTAAAGACCAAGTCATCCACTCCCCCATGAACTAAAAACTTCCCTCACACCAGCAGCAATAAAGAAAACCTGAAAGTAATAATCAAAGAACCTTTGAATAACCACACTACTTTCAAGCCACATCCTTAAATAAGGACCTGATCCTACTCACACCTACCCACATAACTAAACCGCGTTTCCTACCTGAATAAACCCACTGATTTAAAAATTATATCATTTTCTTTTCAATATAGTACAAGCAGATTACAAATGCTTCGTGTACCTGAAGCACCTCATCTTCCATGGTTGTATCTAAACTGGTTTCACGACACTTTACCCAGCCTGCTAGGCATGTAAATCAAGTGCTACCTGTCCCGCCAAGTCAGAAAAGGTTTCTAATCACCAAGAGAAATTACCTAGTGGAACAGCATTCTAACAGGCTGGCTTTCCTAGTCCACACTTCCTTGTTCAGTGAAACATTTACTAATAGGACTATATGAAATGCCCACCCAGAACTGAACTATGACTCTTGGAATCTAGGGAGTCCTTCCCACCAGAACTGCAGGCACCTTGCGTGTACGCTGGGGAAATCTTACAGCAGCAGAACCCAGTGCATGACTTTGCAGAATCTACAAATAGAAACCAAGGAATAAATGGTTCCGACAATGCTTCTTAAAATTCATTATTTATTTTAAAATCAATACCCCCAAGTTGTAACCATTCCTAGAGTTCAGAAGCAAGCCAGGTTTTTGGTAGTGAAACAAAGCTTGTTTCCACTATGGTCATGGAAAAAAAGTTTGTTCCTCCATCACCTGGAGAAAGAAAAATAGTTTTTCCTCTTATGGAATTGCATTTCCCTGTTTTTAAGGGGGTTGTTACATGTGCACACAGTTAAAAGCTAAAAGAGTCTATTCCTTTTGAACAGATACAAATAGAATAATTTTTACCATATCCCAGTCTATGCTCCGGAAAAACGTATGAGACTTGATATCAGAAAATCCTGTCTGTGGCTGACAACCAAGCCTTTCTTTGGGATCCTGTGGAAACACAAACTCATATTACACACTCTAACCCGGTTACAGTCTGTGTTTGTCCCACACACAGCCCATACACATGACTCCAGCATTCCCCATGACTGCAAAATGCTGCTAAGACAGTATGGCTATCAAGGAATTTTTGTTCTTTTTCCCTTCTTTTATTAATGAAGTTTGTTTCAAATTTAATTTTAAAACTATATTTTACAACTTCTTAAAAATAAATGTATTTAGTAATGTATAATTCATATCCTTTCCCCCCCTAAAAATCTGCTTGATAAGTAATCAAGTATTTCAGAAAAAGGCTTAGAAACAAACCTAGTTATATTTTTCAACAAGGTTCAGGCTTTTAAATCAAGTCTGTGCTGTGGAATTCACTCAGTAAATTAGCAGCTAAGAAGTGGCTTCTTTTAACATACAGGATACCAAGGTTTTATAGGTTTTCTTAACAGTAAGCAGATTAACTTCTTGACTGTATTGCTTTCAACAGGAAGCTCTGACTTCCAGATCTTAGATGCTAAAAATAAAAGAATGTTATTTACCTTGTTTAAAAATCCTTTTAACACGTGGGAAGCCTTGACAGAAAGAAACCTTGGAATCCGGATTGGCTTCTCAAGAATAACTGTTACAGGTTTAAAAACAGCAATATTGGCTTTTGGTTTATGACATTACCATGATCTCAACAGAAACACGGTATTATTTAAGTATGTGACCACTTGGAAAATGGAAAGATAGAGTAATTAGTTAAAATAATGCAAATGAAAGGAGCTACAATAATTCAAGCCACTGTTACAGTGACAGTTCAAGATTTCCTAAAAGAAATACTAGCTGCATTAGCTTTTTCTATTGTTTGTAGTGTAAGCAGGGAATAAAACTTTTCCACTGTCCTCAGCATACGGAAAGGTGCAATTTTAAACAGTAATTGATTTAACATTAGGCTCATAAGAAGAACATGGCAGATTGTGCTAAATAATTGCAGTAACTATTTTCAAGAATGGTTCTGCATATTAGGAAGCACACAACTTCTCAATTCCCCAAAGTGTTACAGAGTTTCTGTAGTAATGAATATGGCAAGTATTACTATTTCTGTTCAGAAAAACTCCTGTCTACAACTAAAGGGTAGACCTGTTGAAAAGAAGCTGGTATTAATTTAATCAGAAGTAAAACTAAAAGTTGTCTGGAACAAAACCACAGGCTGACATGTTTCTGCCAATAAAGATCCTCCTACCCTCTCATGGAGCACTCAATTTTAAAACTCATTCTTGGCCTGTAGACTTCCTTCTAACAAAAATACCATTCCAGACAACTCTGTGCTCGTTCTGAACTGTGGACATCTTTAAAAAGTATTTTCTTGTCTGAAAAAGGCTTCCTCATTCCAGACCATTTTATCTGAGTTCAACAATGTAAGTTCCTGGGATGAAGAAGTGGAAATGTTTGAGGCCTTTATCCACAGCAGATTTACAGACAGCTAAAGGATAACAATGGCAAAGCGAATGCAAACTGTCCTGCAGGAACTGGAATTTTCACTATTTCTCCCCCAAGAAATACAAAAATCCAAACGACTATACCTTGGAAGAGGTAATCTTCAGTGTTCATGTCTGGATTGTCAGTAATAATATCAAACGGAGACCTTCCTGCCATCATTTCAAACATCAACACGCCGAGCGCCCACCAGTCCACACTGAACCCTGGAAACATTTGCAGAGCAGATTATCAGCTGGGACTAAATGAATGTAAGTGTTTTCTCTCATAGAAACGAAGATCAATGGCCTAGTTCTACAACTAGAACTTTGCTTTGCCATTTATTGTAACTGCAAATTGTTTAGTCACAGCTTACCATATTCTTCTCCTCTGAGGATCTCTGGTGCAATGTAATTTGGTGTCCCGCAGAAAGTGCTTGTAGTGTCACCAGGGCCCAAACCTTCCTATGTGCATAAATCATGTAGCAATTAAAAGCTGACCTCCTTTTCCAGGCATTTCGCTTAATTAGACTTACAAAACCAAGTGATTTAGGAGTTCTAAAGACCTTCCTTTCAAAAAAAGGCAATGCTAGAGCAAAACAAATGCTCATAGTGCTCAAAGCTGGCTCATGACTTCACGGCTGATCTTCAGCAAATTAACTGATTAAAACTAAGTCACAGCACACTTGTAAAAACATTTTATTTACTGTTTACAGACACAATTAAAACCAAACCCAGATAAACAATTTGGAAATCCTTTTCTAACAGATGTTGGGAAAAAGCATTACATTAAGAACATGCTACACTTTGCCAGATGCTTTGAAAATGATGCTCTTTCAATTGCCTCTCAGTGCCCAAGATTACAGCCTGAGAGCTGAGGTACCAGACAGCTTGGTTTACTAATCTGTACAGTCCAGCCTCAGAGAAAGACAAATTCAGACTCACAGGAGCAGTTAAAAAGATGGAAAAGACCCTTTAAAAACTTATTTTCTTAAACATAAATTTTCTAACTTGAGTCATTCAGCAAACAAATATAAAAAGAAATTAACTTGCCCAATAGGCTAAACTACTTCTGTCTCCAAAAATGACCCACATAACTTGAAATGTACAAAGGAAATATTACAAATCACTGGATGCTGTATTTGACTTAAAAGCATAACCAGAGAGATACTGCTGAATGACAAAGTGACAAAAGAGAGGTAAGAAAAAATCCTACCTTGCACATGCCATAATCTGTTAATTTGATATGACCCTCTGCATCTAGAAGAACATTATCTAGTTTTAAATCTCTGTAGATTATGCCTCTTTCATGGAGAAAGTTTAGAGCAATACAAATTTCAGCAGCATAAAACCTGAAAATAAAAAGGAGAAAATTCCCATTAGCATTAAGATTGTACAAAAACTGGTGCAATTAAAAAAGACATAATCCTTTCTTAGAACACTGCTTTACAGTCAGCTTTTATCTACCAGCAGCCTGCCAAAACCAAACTACGCTTATCCATAAGGACACTGACCTTGTGTATTGTAAAGCCATTCCTTAAATTAAATATGGGAAATTTCTTTTTTAATTCTACTAATTATGAAAACATTTATTCTTTATCTTACGTTTTTTGCTGAAAGTTTCAAATATGATAGAGAAGGTCTGTCTTTTCTACTTATTCAGAGTTACAATAGGACTTTGTGTAGTACAAAGCCATGCAAAACAGATTTTTCCTCTTCTCCTGCCAACACTGTATTAATTCAATGTAAGACCAAATCAGATAGAATAATTACATCTTCCATCAACAGATCAAACAACTATTACCTAAATATGAAGCAATAAACAAAAGTAAATAGGAGGAACTGTTACTACAAATTCTTGCTTTCTTTGAAAAATATACATATTCTTCAGAAAAGCAAAATTCATATTCCTTCCCAGGGCAGTACATTCTAAACTTGAGAATGAACATTTTGTTCCTTCTTTGCCATTCATGTACTTGTATGGAATAAAGTTTAGGAAGCATTTCCTACAACATTTAACAACTACAACAAAGGAAAACCACTACAACTGTGTTAGCGAAATACCTTGCGTGTTCTTCAGGAAGCTTCCTTTGCCGTTGCATATGAAACATAAGATCTCCCCCATTTACATACTCTATGACAAGAAACAATCTGAAAGTACATAATACAATTAATGGATTCCAAGAAAACTGAAGAAAAACTGTTCTTATACTTCCAAATTAAGCCATTTTCACTTCTACTCTTGAACTGTACTTCTAGACTTCTTACAGTCACAAAAACTATCCAAGGGAAAAAAAAAAAAGGAGTACTTATTTGATCCATATAGGATCACATCCTTTATTTAAAGGACAGACTGCACGTAAAGGAGAGGCAGCTACATACAACGGGCTACTGTCTGGTGTGAAACCTGCAGAAACCCAAAGCATATAATGAGATACAGACTTCTCTAAAAATTACAGCAGTCATGGAAGTGTGCTAGAAGATGGTACATGGCAAAAATGAAGGTTTAGCCCAAAAAGGTAAAATCGTCATTCATTTGAAGGATGGCATTAGTAACAACAATGCTGATGATCATTTACAATAAAGAGTTTAGTATTTAAAAATACTTTAAAAGATGCATCAATTGTAATTCAAACCTTTCTGAGTAAACCTGACAGATTCACTCTGATGTAACAATTATTAAATTGTTACTCTGCTTGACTAAATATTGTTCATTTTTAGTAGCCAAGCTGCAGCAACACATCTGCAGAGCTCTGTAGGTGAAATGTAGCTTATATACACACAAGTCAACAAGGATTCTGCATGGGCAAAATCTGAAAATTCTCATCTGTATTTGATGTCGTTTTCCTACTAAAAGGTCACCATCTTTAATAAATTACAATATTTGCTGAGTTCATGAGCATCTGGCAATATTACAGATTAGTATGTTTTGTAGGATTTGTAATATTAATATGTAACTACAAAGCTTGCTATTTGTGCTGGTTCAGTTCTTGAAAAGCTCAAACAGATGTATCGAAAGCAAGGTGACAAATTCAGTTAGAGCAGTGTAATCCAAATTTACTTTCAAAAAAATGCAAGTTTTAGCTGAATAGCATGTGCCACAATAATCTTCCCAATATAAGTAACAAGATCTAACGTATTATTAAAAAACACATACAAGATTATTTCTATGAAATCCTATGATCATCACTGAGCTCTTCCCAATACAGTGTTAAGAAACATACTGTCATTCCTAAAAGGAAAACCCACAATATTCTGTTGTATTTGCATAGATAGACTGAGACTAACGAATTTGAGGATTGCCAGACTCAGTTCACACACACCCATTATTTATCAGTGGTGAAAACTGAAGCAGGTGAGCTAGCAGGGCAGACAATGAAATTCCACCTCCCTTGACTTTGCCCAACCTTTATCTGTAGAAACAGGTGAATTATAGGACAGTATGACGGACCCTTTTCCATCACTCCCTACATGGCATAGTCACTAAAGGAAAGATCTGGGCTTATTAGCTCCTCTGCAGAACAAGCTTTTGAAACAACCTTCTCAAAACAAAGGAAAAGTCAGGAGGGGAAAGAAACATAAATACAGGTGGAATGAGTTGTATAAAGAGACTTCTATTACAGTTTGCAGGAAAGGTTTCATGCTTGGGAAAATATGATCCAGGTAATGCTGCTATGGTCAGAGAGACCAACAGGATAGAAACATGCTGAGTGAGGGCTCCTTATGAAGGCTACAATTCTCCCAGGAGGTATTGTTTCATTATACACCTCATTTTCCATGAGCTGAAAACTCCTTTCCATATATCCACACGCTGGAAAACATTCCATTTGGAAAACATATGCTGCAGTCTCTCAGCCCATTCTAACAATAAAGATTATTTTCTTCCCTTTGTAAAGGATTCTTCATTTGAAAAACTTAAAGTGTTAAAAACTTCAAAGGCAAACCAGGAAAAATTATTGGACATGACCCAGCCTGCACATCTTTTCAGTGTCCTCCCCACAAGAATATAAAGACTAAACTAAAAATAAATCATAAATAAAATAGATAATGCCATGAGTATTTTATTACAGCATTCCTGATATTTTTTGCTTCCAATTTTCCCATCCAATTTGGAAGCTTCCAATGTTTTATCACCACCCAGAACCTGCAATTTAAAGTTCCTTGCATCAATTCATGTTTAGGCATGTGTGAATACCGACAGTCCTTGCTAGTTTTAGAAGGATTTACTCAAACATTGGTGGTTTTGCAGGATGGAGGTTTCAGATTGTTGCCATCCTTGGAAGACACTTATCTGGCAAGTCTGTGAAAGCCCAAGGTACGTATTTTAAGACAATAATAAAACAAGCATTGCTAGTACCTGGAACAATGCAAAAGCTACACTTAGCATCAACTAGCATCTTTAAGTAAAAAGTTTTTCTTATCTTAAAAATCTATTAAAATTATATTTAAGAGCAAGAACATGTTCTTTTGCAGCCTTTACCCCTCCTAGTAGTATGCTTATACATAAACTATTCTCATATTACAACTTGTTTTCTTTGGGCCAGTCAACACAAGCTGATGTTAATAAGTTTATTCACTTGAAATCAGTTTTGTGCTGCTCTGTTCCTGTAATGAGATTATGATCGTGATTTTTTAAACATTACAGCTATAACCAAGTTGTGAATTTGTGACATTGCAGCTCTATCCATGGCAAAAGGCTGAATTTGAGCAAAACCCTACAGTTTCACTGCAAGAAGCAGCCAGGCTGGAAAAAGGACTCCATAAGGTACAACAGGAATACAGAAAGCTTTGACTACATTCAGCTATTTTTCAATATTTCTGCTCCCCAAGTGTACCAATGTAAGTGTCATGCAAAGGATCTTTCTATTGCTGACCTCTGCCTTTTCATTGTTTCCAGTATTTCTAAGTAACCTCATCCTCATTACCTCACCCTGCCTGACTGCTTGAATTGCTACATTAGATGTTTGGTACTACATAGTATTTGTGAAATATTGGTTTAGTTTAAAGGGACTTTCACAACAGCCTAACTGTCTAAAGATTTCTTCTTCTTCTGTCTGCAAGACAAGTTTCTTTTCATCAGGTCTTTAGTCACCTTTGGAGATCATTCTTTCTCCCTGCTCCAAAATACTCCCTAGTCCACACACCTTCACAATGCTCTTCATACAGTTTTTTACTTCCCTTAGCTGTTTTCCCTGCTAAGAAAATGCTATTTCCTATGCTTACAACCATTAACGGGTTGGAAGTTTGGGGACTTAAAAAATGGTAAGTGAATGAGGCTTCGTATTTTAAAAAATGGCTAATGTGCACTGTAACGAAGAGGCGATTTTCTTCTTCAAACTGCTTGCACTCTGCACTGCATGCCATTCAAGCAAGCCAGACAGAACAACTTTTATCTTCTGATAATGACACATATGGCACCAGGTGTTATAGAAGTGTAACAGCATGCAGGTGCCTGTGAAAACAAAACCACTGCAACAAACCACAACCCTCAGACATCCAAACTCCACAGAATCGAGTTCTTGATTTTCTCCATATTCCAATTGAAAAATAAGAAGCAAGTAACTCATTTTTGATTGGGCACACATGGACAAAAAAATTAGTATTTCAAAGTAGCTAAGAGTTTATTAAGCACGTTTTCAAATAAAATCACATACTTCAATACGTGCTAAAGGCTTATAAGCTTTGTGGGTAAAAAAAACAAAACAAAAAACAACAAACCTCATGCACATGTAGGTTTTGAAGTTATTAAAAGTTATTACTGCTGAGCAGCCCACCACTTGCGCTAATTTGAAGAACAGAGAACTACAGCTTGGTCCTCTGAGAATGGCCCTGTTCAATACCATCAGGCATTATAAACTCTCTCCTATAACACTCTGTTTAACCCTACTACCAATCTTCCTCTTCCCAAAGCCACACAGCCTGTGCTCAGGAAGACAGCACACAGTTCCTCCTCCTCCTCATTCATCTTCTCCCTTTAGGTCTGGACCTGGAAAACCTGGCTTTTCCTCCATACCACACAGGCTAAGCTTCCCTGCCAGAACTGGCTTTGTTGTAGCAATACTAATGCTTCCTCCCAAACACTCCTGACTGTGGGATGGTGCTAGTTAAGTTTGCTTTATGAGAAGCAGTTAGTACAATGAGCAAGATTTTCAAAACAAAATAATTTCAGATCTTTCTTACCGACTTGTTGTTTGAAAGCATGAATGTAAACCAACTAGGAATGGGTTACTGGATGCCTGTTCAAACACATGTTTCTCTGTCTGTACCCAATCAATATCCTGAAATAGAGTAATTGAACAATCAGAACTCCTGCTGGATAACCACTGGGGGTATTCCCAGAAAATTGTGAACATCTATGCTCCCTTGCATATACACCATCATTGTTATATATGTTCTTCAGAAAGACAATCCCCCCTAAAATCCAGAGGAAGTTATAAAACATTTTAATTTCATTATATATTCAGAAGTTTCTTAACCATTTAGAAGTGTCTGCACAAAATCTAAGCCATTTTAAAATATCATAATATCTGCAATATTTGATACACTGCTCACACTGCTTCACAGAAATAAATTCAATTATCTTGGATAAATGATCCTAAGGCTGCTGAGGCAACTCATGCCAGTAACACAAGCAACATGAAGCTCCAGTTTTTACAATGCTCAAATAAACTGAAATTCATTTTCTCATCTGAAACTCAAAATTAATTCAATGAAACTACCAAAACCTGCTTAGTTTGTCCAGCCAAAAATCATTCTTAGAAGCATCACAGACTACCTTTCGTACTTCAAGAGGGAGAAGTCCTGAGCACCCAGAGCAATGCCATATAATAAAAACCTATAAAAATTTGAAAGATAGGAGCACAGTACTGCAAAATTCAGACCCCAATAACAAAGCATTTAGTAATTTTTCATACAACCATACAAAATTTAAACTTTATGGACAACTGGTTTTAGCAGTAGATATTCACTCTTGATGCAATACAATGATCACGTTCCACCCTGCAAATGCTCTGTACTCTGCAAATAAACTAGAAATATAATTGTGCTAAAAATTCTCCCTTTCCAACAAACACGTCCAGCTTTCCAACCAATCTGAAGACAACAAAGACTGACACTGAGAGACTAGGCCTTCTTGTCAAGGATAATTAGTGAAACTAGAGTCTCAAAGGAAATCAAGAAATGTCACCATCAAATTAATCTGTCAGGTTTTGTGTTCAGACACTCCTGAAGATCTTGGAAAGGTAAACTTGGGTCTAAACATGAGCCAAAAATCCAGTTTTGCATAAAGTCGTAACTCAGAACAGTTTCAGCTCCTATTCTGAAACACAGACAGGAATCTGCAGCTACATTCATTTGCCTTCAAAGTTAAGTGCCCAAATTCCACCCAATTTATCTCACACACTCGCAGCACATCCAGTTGGAATATTCTTCATGTGCATTCTACTAAGACTATTAATAACTAGTAATTAACATAAGGGACATTTCTCTCAGATTTAATCTTGGTGCTTCATGCAGCCACTTGATGACAAATGAGTTCAGAAGTCAGTAAAACCTCTATTACAGGAATAGCTGCTTTCTTAGTTGAAAGTTTCTTGCTAAAGCACACTAAGTTTTCACAGTAACAGAATGCAATTAACCCAGACTTTTACCTCATCATCATGGACCAATTCTTTTTTCACTACTTTCATAGCATAAATTTGATCATTCTTTTTTAACCGAACTAAAAGAACTTTGGCATAACTTCCGCGTCCGATAACTCTGATTAAATCAAAGTCCTGTAGTCCAAGCCCCTGAGAAATCTTAATTCCATCCATTCCATCAATGACCGGTTTGATTTCCTGTATAAAAAAAAAAAAAAACAACAAAACATGCTAGAAACAGAAGACATTTTCAGAACAAGTAACTATTAAACCAAAGAGGTCTTTGACCACTGGACAGAATGTGCTGAGTTTGATTCCCATTGTCAGCGGCACACAGATCTGTATGGCTGAGCAGAGCGCATTTGTTGGGAAATGTTCACTTGGTATTGCTTTTGCTCTTGCTAAAAGTCAATGTTGGTTTTCAAGGCAGTAGTTAGTTCAAGTAATCATTTAAACATTCCCTACTGGAAAACAGAAGGCAATGCCTTGAGAAATGAAGTTTTACTCAAATTCTTGAATCATGTAGAATTATCCTTTGCACTAAGTGAAGAAAATATTTCATAATCTGACAGATATCATAGTACAAATTAATAAAGGCTCTCTAAAAAGGAGGAGGATAAAGAAACAATCATTTGCTAATGCAGATACCTGTCTTGGTTTCAGTTTAGGCAACAACTGTTCATACTAAGTTCAGTATAGTTTCTAGTAAGTGCCTGGGAACACACAGAAGCAGATACCTATTTCTTGAATGTGAGAATTTGCAGCAAATATACCACTATGAAGAATTTTATTTTAAAATTCATTATTTAAAAAGATAAATTTTATCTTGACTGTTTGCTGGAGTTAAACGTGAACACGTGAGACTGAAGAACGAGCAGCTGAACTGGACAAATGCAGCAGGTACTTTGACATTTCATGTCTTACCAATATAGACAATGCTTTGACATACTTCTGTGGCCTATTTTTATCTGACCTCATACTACTGTACTCGTACAGAGATCAGCATTCTGCTGAACTATGGAAAGTACTTATATAAGGAATCTTGATCTAGGATTGACTGCTCTTAGAAGAGATTGCTCTGAGCTTAAAGATTCTCATCAAAGCAGCTCCCAGAATGCCATTTCCTGTCTGTAGGATACCTTAAATTATTTTATTAAAGCTCAAAAATAAGGTGGGAAAATCAGAGCAGCATAATTCAGGACAGTTGAGCTTAAGCAAAGAGCACCTACTAAAATCTAAACACAAACAGTATTTACCTGAACACTAACCATGGCAGAAGTCAGCAACTCCAGACTGCAGTTTAAATTCTGACATATTTTAAATACCTTTCCATTTCTGAATCTGAGATAAAAATCTGAAGATGTGACTGAAAAATCAGTCACTTGCCCATGAGCAGGAACTACTCAAATGTGAAATAATGGTAGTGACAAGTATTGTAGTGGAGGTAAAGTTAAAAAAGTGCAGGCTAGCTAAAAGTGGGGTATCAAACTAACTGTTAGTGTTCTGCAGAGTGCATCCTATTTACTTCAAATATGCCAGAAGCACTTTTAAAGTGTCTTGAAGCCCTTTAGAATTAAAGAATATCGGGATTGCTTTAAGGGAATAACATTGTTGATATGCAGAGATTGTATCAGACCATCTACAACAGAGCTGAAAACCAGAGTTTAAGTGTATGTTATTGTACTTGTATTTCCACAGGAGCTGTCTTTAAATTATTAGGTATTATTTATGTGAAACCTCTCAGAGAGCTGGATAGTTAATGTATTATCAGACTGAACCAACTTTCATAATGCTAGCCTCCAAGGCTAGCCTGAGGGTGATGAAGGGTGGACATCCATTAGAGAGAGCAGACAAGACAATGTCAAAGCCTCCATTTGTTGCTAGGACCAATAAAGTCAAACCCTCTGCTAAATCACTGTTGTTCCAATGTGCATGGAAGGGATTAAAAATCAAAACAAAACCAAACCCCACAGGAATTGGGATAACAAGAGCTGTATACAGAAGAAATCTGAAAACATCCAACCAAAATGCTTTAAAAAACTAATCAATTTACAAAAAGAAACCCCAGACTTCAATTTTTTTTAAAAGGTAGCAGAAAAAATAGGACAAATAATTTGGCGTATTTATAAAAAGTAGTATGATTGAGAGTGTGCAAATATGACCTGCAAAGGTATTTTAAAAACATACCTCAGAGTCATCTTCAATGTTGTCATGTTTCCGGTTTGAAGGAATGTAGGGAACTGAAAAAGAAATCAAATAGTGTTGTTAAGGTCTTCATTAGAAATAATTTTTAAAATTGGTAAACAGAAAGATTGGGCAGCTTAGGGCCAGCAGTTTGCTTTAAATACTATGGGACAGTTCACCAAACTTTCCCACGTCTCTTGTAATTCTAACAGCAGGGTGCAGCAGAAACTACCAACTCTGAGACAGCAAGAAATTCATCAATGAACTTTTGAGCTCATAGCAGCGTCTGACAAAGGACAGAGTCTCTTCCAAGAATGGGTATGGTAAATGAGCCTTGAACACAAGACAGGTTAAACCATCAAAAATACTAACCCAGAAATAGCACTATAAATCACACAAAATTAAGAAACACTTAAAGGCTGAGGGTGCATTTATGAACATCCCAGTTTGGATCAAAAGTACAGGGGTTTTGTTTTAAAAAAAACATATCTATTGTTCCAAATTGCTCCATGTTTAACTTTCCATTGTGGTTTGGTTTCAGAGCGTATGAATTTAGGATGAAACTGAACTGGACGACACGCTACAGGAATACATTTACTGTAATTGAGTCCCTAATAAGTCCATGGGACTAAATGAGAGCTAATCCAATGTAAACTTTACAAAAAAATAAATCCAAATAGGTAGAATGGAAACCGGGCCTCCAAATGGAGAAACACAGGAATTTCAACTTAAGACAGTACTCACTTCCATCAGTTTCTTCTGAAGGGAGGCCAACGTCATTGTTTTTATCATCTAACTGAGGTTCCTGGGAAGGCATGACCGAATCCTTGCAGAACACCCAAGTTACATAGGAAAAAAACCATGGGTTTATGCAGTAATTTTAAGCAAGTACATCTTGTCATTGAACTACAATACAACAAGAACCTAACATTCATATGATCCTCAATGAAAACTGTGTTTTGTAAAAGTATTTCTGACTACTAACACTTTGTGATGCATTATAAAACCAGCCTAAAAATGCCTAAATGCTACATTAACCATTCTCTACAACAGATGTTTAGCTGTCTTCTAGAAGCAAGGTAAGTATATTTTGTTGCAAAGTTCAAAATTTTATTCTATTTAAGACTTCTGAGTCTGCTTCACATGGAACAGCAACAAAGTAAACACTTCAACATGATGTTACACACTCCATTTAGAGGACTGGCATATTCCTTTCCTGTTTAAAAACAGGAATTGTTCCTCACTATGCAAGGGTATAGCATAAATTGGTAAAGATCATAACACCAAATAGTTTTATAGTACATTTAGACACTGGTCTCATTCACAACTCATTGTGAGACATGTAGGACTATTCCAGTACATATAGCAGCATGCACAAATAAATAGGCAAAGAATCTAGCAGTACAATAAAGAAAAATACTAGTTTAATTTCTGAATTAAAAAAACCTATGATGCAACAACAGTCTGTGATTCTATGATTGCAATGACAACTCTTTATCTATCTGTAAAATACAGTATGTCTACTGGAGAAGGGAAACTCAAGCTTGCACACAATTCATATCACAAGTTTTCTTTCCTCACTTCGTTTCTACTGCTCAATCCAAACGCTTGTCCTCCAGAGACCTTCTTAGTTCAGAAAGTGAAAACCAACCACTACCAAGTGTTACAGGGCTACAGCTACACACAGCGTTTAATTACTCAGGAGGCACACCCATAAACAGCCACCGAGGACACAATGAAAGCTTCATACAAAACGCAAACTTACCATATGCCTTTTGCAGGTCAGTGGAACAAGTATATGGCAACGCTTATGGACCAACAACTTGCAGTTGATACACTTGTAGCCTTGCCTTCCGAGACCCCATATCCTTTCACTGCACTGGCCACAGTATGCTCTCTAAAAGCCAGAATGCATATTATTAAGTCAGTTATCAATTCCTTTCTGTAGATGAGTAGTTATCAAGCAGCAAGAAGACACCTACCTCCTAACAGATGTACAATAATATTTATCTTAGAATATCCAGGGTTTTCCAAGTAACTGAAGGTTACAGCTCATGCTTAGAATTCAACTAAATGCAGTCCTTTCTTAATGAAATGTTAAGAAAACATCTCAAGCCTATGGAACACATTACAGCTTAACATTAGCAAATTACTGCTACAGAATATTTTGAATTTCAGGTTCTGACAGAGGTCACCTAAACAAAACTGGCAGAAATTTGTACTACACGATTATACATAAAAAACACCTGGACTGACTGCTTTGGAGAACACAAAATGTTACACAGGTTAAAGTATGAAGAATGTTTTATATATACACACACACTTCAACAGAGGTAGAAACTTTGCATAATTAAAACTCAACTATCAAGTCTGATGTAAAACCTCTGTATGTTGCACCATTTCATGGCAAAAATACATGGCCTTTTTTCCTACATGCAGTGACATAGCATCTGACTAAATTAAATCAAAAGGAGGACAAATCAAGACGCCAGACATTCTACTGTTGACTTTAACAGGGCAAGTCTTGAAATATTTTTTCCAGGTTGTGTGTGCTGTGGTCATTTTATCCACTCTACCCAAAGTGCCAAATTGCAATACGAGCTTCTTAGCATGCCAAGAAGTCCCCCAGCGTCAAGTGATCCCTCTGCACAGTGCACAGGTTGTCAACACAGGACTTACTCATTATTCCCTATCTGCACATTTTCTGCAGCAAGTCCTGTAGCAGGCTCAGGCATTGCCCATCACTCTGCAAGCTGCACATGAAGCCCTGCACTCATCCCCAAGCTCAGGCAGAGCTCTGTAACTGTCCTGAAGCCGCAGAACAGAACAGAGCAGGTCTGTTCCTCCCAGAAAACTGCCAGTTTGAGTGTGGTTATTCACATCCTCAGACTAATGAATCACACAGTGTCCTGCCCAAAAGCATTAAGCTACTATAAATCCTTATGAGTAGTAATAGAAAAAATTTACTAAGGAGAAAAGAAATAATGATCAAAGAATGGATAATTAAAAAAAAACCAAAAAAACCCACACAAAACCAAAACAAAAAAAACCCCAAACACAAAGCAAAACAAACAAACAAAAGCAAACAAACAAAAAACCCAAAACCTTCTGTATTGCCCTTCTCATATTTTGATAGCTGTAGAAAGCAAAACTTAATGACATCCCACTTATCTGCACAGCCAGTCCTCCTCGATCAGGAGAAACCCAAACTGCATTGCCCAGGAAAAAAAACAACCATACTGACTCATAAGAGAAGCAGCCTTGGGTGTCTATAGACACTTCTTTCACAATTCCTGGTCCCTCAGACTTCTTTCAGTATCCCTGTTTAGATTTGGCAGCAGTATTATTAAGACTAAATAAAATGTCTTAGGCCCTGGAAATGACATACAAGAAAGTAGTTTCATTTACTTCACATAGATGCAGGGAAACGAAGCGGGGCGGGGGGGAGGAGATGTAGAGGCAGCTCCCAAATTCCTTTATTAATGTGAGTATTCCTCTCTTAGGTCTCCGAAACACATACAACCACAGCAAAGAGTTAACCTTTATGTTTAACAAGGTTAAAGTTTAGATTCTGGCATGTGTTCATTTTCCTAAATTATCTGAGAGTTTTAAAAGGTTATTTTGAAACAGGAATTAATTCCTAAGGTCATACTCAGTCTTAAAAATTCAGTCAACATTGAAATTTGGTATCTAAGTCAGTAATACATGATCATGATTTATTTTAAATTTATACATTCTTATAGCACATTTTGCAGTTCATGTCCACTTTATTACTAACTGCAGTTGGATATGGTTTGTATTCTGACTTTATATGATTTCATTTGTATAAAGACAGCTATAAAGTAGTCTTGTTTAGGATTGTTGACAAATGGGCATGCTAATGAGGTTTTAAAACCTTTATGTACATATTCACTATCCTCCTAATTTCAATTCAAACATCATGGGTTATTAACATGGCAGGTATGCACTCAATGTTTCAAAGAAACACGTTTTGACTATAGAGCAAATAAGCACAAAAAGTATGTGTTTTATACTAAAAATGAAAAAATTTGAGTTGGCACACCCCATTATACAAATGCATATTATAACTCAGATATATGACTTACTTTTCACATATCTAGGGATAATATACTGAGTTTGAAGGAGCTTTTCCTTCAATGCAGTTTTGGGTGGTAAGCAACAGGAAAAAAGCTAATTTAATTTAAAATCAGTTACTACTGAATCAAACAGTTCACTCCCCTCACTGCACTCAGCTTTGTACAGAATTCCCTAAAGCGTTTATGTACTACATCTGTACATATGCTGCAAAACTTAGGCATAATGGGATAAGTGAAGGAGGTGTCTCAGCCTTAAAGCTACATTCACTTGCTTATGTGGATTAAGTCAGATTCTTAAAGTAGTTGTATTTTAGCTCAATAAACCAGATCTTTTTCTTAATCAGATGATGCAATACCTCAGATTCAAAACATTTAAAGCAAAAAAATCAAGAGCTCTTTAAAAACGACAAAAAGTACCAAAAGATCATGCTAACAAGCAATCAAAATCACAAAAGAGTCAGGAGGAGAAAAGCTGCTCTAAGCATGCATCAGTTTAAATAGGCACAAACCCAGCTTTTTAGAGACATTAAAAATAATTCCCACCAATAACATATTAACTCCATCCCAGGTTCAAAGACTTTCAAGTTTTTCTGATTGTTATGACCTGAATAACACTGCATAGACTGAGAAGTCACATGAATAAGCATCTTGCTTTTCCTTTCTTTTCAATACTCAAAAACAGAAAACGCACAGGCTGAGAAAAACAATTACCACAGAACATTACCAAAACCCAACATTTTATGCAACAGTACTCACTCTGTTAAAACGTTTGGCTTGAAACAAATGCCCATTCACTCGGTACAGCTTCCTCCATCTTCTGGCTCCACGGCGGTAGATTGACTCTAAGAAAGAAATTAAAAAGGTGTAAAGCAGCAGCATGGTGGCACAGCAATACCAGACACACTGTGTTAAGCAAGTTGTGACATAAAACAATCTTGCTTTTCCAAATATCAACGCACAGCTAAAATCTCTGCTGCCTTTTTTTTATATATGTAAAGGCAGCTGTAACTGACAGCTCCTGCAGGATGTGCCTTCCCCTCTGCCTCTCCCTTTTCTCCTATCAGTGTCTCTTTTCCCTCACATGATCATAATCTTGTTACCGTTTCTTGGCTGCTTACTCTGCAAGCTCAGGTGAGAGGGACACAGAACTGCTACATAAACAGCTTCCGTTGGTACAGCAACAATACTGATCTCACCTTCACATGTGAGCACGTAAAGGATGTTTGGTGCTAATAATGTTTTAGATGTGTAATATTAAAGACATTACAAATGTTGAGAGTAACATTATTTGACCTCATTTTTATGTTGCAATTAAATGTTGCCAAAAATATTTCTCTGGTTAGGGAAACAGTTCAAATGCAGGTCTGCAATTATTTCTAATCTATTCTAAACATAACAAGAAGAAATCATTTAATCTGTTTAAGCCAGACTTTTCAAGAGGCCCCATGTGACAGTACCTGGCACCTACTCTGAATCACAGTTCTTTTCATATCCATATGTGCAATTTTTGTATGACTGGCTAATTAGAGAATTTGATATTTAATACTATGTGTTGTAAAACATGTTGCATGACACCAGTTCTATTCAGAGCTGCTGTAATGGTGACACAGCCAACCGCTGCCACATAAGCAGGGCCATGAGCTTTCCAGGGCCAGAGATACAAGTGGGCACTGGCTGGACTGAGGAGTAAGGGGAAAAGAAGAAGGGGGTGAGTTAAGCAGAAAATTCAGCAGTGTTGTTAAAACTGACAACATATTCCTATCTTTAAGAGGCTAAAAAATGTTTTTAAGATGTCAGATTTTCATTACTGAATAATTAGTTCTAGTTACACCTATTAGGAGATTCCATTTTAGGTGTTCTCCCAGTTTACTGTATTATTACAGTTTACTGTAATATTTAAAGTTAAGAGGCATTATTTCACAGTCTGACACAACCCCTTAAACGTTTCCAGGAAAAGTATTTTACTGTGTTTTTATGGGTGTTAGAATATGCTCTTACTTACTTGAAAAAAAGAAATGTGAAAGTCCAGAATCCTTATTTTGATACCATTATTTTAAAGTAAAATGGTGAATATGATTACCCAGTACAGAGTTTTAACTGCATGCCTTTTTAAAAACAGATTATTTATGCTAGTTATAACACAACTTAATACAGTTGGCAGCTTGTACAAAACATATTCCATCTACTTTCAATGGAAAAAATTAGTAAGTATAGCCACTTTACAGGGAACAGAGACCTAAACAGCATAGGAAGTATAAATAACTCGGAAGACAACAGTAAAATACAGTTATGATGCCTAACAACTTCTGAAAGACTGCAGGCCATAGGAGTGGCAAAGACAGTCACTAGAATAGAGGTATATCTCTAGGTATCTTTGACTCAAACAGTTCCTCAAAACCTCCAAATACAAACTTTCAAGCAAACAAAACCCTCCTGATTTTCCTAATCACAAAGACAATTTAAACGAGAACCTAGAAAAACTATGGCAAAGCTTCTGCCTAAAACTATGCTCAAACACAAACATCAGTGAAGGACTGTTCCACTATTTGCAGGATGACTTTTCACCAAAGAGAGAAAAGAAAAACCTTCACAAGGATTTTTTTTTTTCCAAAATAGCTAACTGATTCATTAAACAAAGCACCATATGGAGGCAACCTACTACATCTGTGTGCTGAACATGAGCTTATCGCCGAGATGAGGAATATTAAGTGAATGGTAAGTTACCGAGCAGCTTGTGCTGATGAAGTCTGTAAATAAAGGAGCAAGTCACTTCCCTAATTAATAATAAATATTAAAAATCAAAGTCAGGGTTTATACCATATATTTGTGAGGCAACAGTCTAACAAAACCTGAACTTAATATAGCATAGCTTTAAAAAGTTGGAACCCCTACAATTTACTGTTGTAAGTGCCACTGATTCAGTGCAGGGTCGAAGGGAAATCAGTTCCTGTTTTCTGCCTCTAAAAGCAGACAAAGTAAAAAAAAAAAAAAGAAAAAAAAAAAAAAAAAAAAAAAAAAAAAGAGGAGAGAAAACAGTGGTCACTTAAGGCACACTTTTCTATCACAAGTTCTACTGTTATTACACACTAAGGTTAAATTTATATGACAGAATAATATGTTCTTGGTGTCACAAAAGCTTGAGCATTTAATTACTGTGTTTAATGAAAGGGCTATTTTTTCATTTATTTTTACAGTGTACATCTGTTAACTCTTTAAGGACTTGAAATTAGCTGCTTGGAGGCTGAAGGAGATATCATAGCCTTAATCAAAATAAATCTTTCCTCCCTCTGATATTAAATCAAGTCTTTGCCTAAAAAAAAAAGAAAAAAATAGATTTCTTTGAATATTCATTTTGCATGTGAACAAGCTCAGGGGAAACTTCAAACGATGTTTTAAGCTGCTAAGAGTGATAACAAATTTTTATTGAGTAACACAAATATATATTCTAATTAAAATGAATGCACTGAACTTCACCTGCTTCCAGGGTTGGAACACAGGAGAGAAATAGGGGGACTGTTTTTAGAGTTATGATTACAAGGGAAATAAAAATACTCAAAGCAAACAAAATTAACCAGCTGTCTCCACGTAAAAAGCCATGTGAAACAACTGACTCTTGCTGCTGTGCAATTCTTCCCTCTGTGGTCAACCTGTGCATCTGCATCACTAACAGTAATGCACAACGAACCTTATATACTTAATATTGCTTTTTTCAAAGACATTCCCTAGGGTTGGATTTTTTCATCTTTTAAAATGTACTGTAGAAAAAACCTTACGAGAAATACACAAAAATATTTAAGTCTGGCTATAAATGGATGAGCAATTTGTCTATTGTTCTGTGTTCATTCCAAATTAACTCATCTATAGAAGATACTCCCCCAATTCAATAGTGACCTCTGAAGAACTTTGCAGGGAGTGCAGGGAGGATGTGAATCCTGCCTTTGAAAATGTAACTTGATAAAGCAGGCAGAAACAGAAGGTGGCACAGTCGCTTTCCAACTGACAATGTCCTTTCCCAGCACTGGAGAAGAGAAGCAATTTAGGAGACAGGCCCAACCTGCCCCCAAGCCCAAAATACTTTTTCCATCTGCAAGTTGATAAAGGCTTGTATTTCCCAGAATATGCAACAGAATTAATCTGTCATGCAAAGAGTGTGGTTCACACCAATGAATGGCAGCAAGATGCCCACCAAAAAATTACATCCTCTGCATTCGCATTTACAAATTCCAAAGTCTGCTTTTATGTGATCAAACTATAATGAAATCTTTTACTATACTAAGCACAGCCATAAATTGCTGTTGCTGCACGTCACTTCTCAGAGACTAATACAACTTGTTTACAGGCCAATTCCATTGCCTGCCAGCTGGACAGTATGAGAATGCCCAGGTCTTGTTTTGTTCTTTTAATGTTTTGCTGAGCATTCAAGTGAGCATTCTTTCAAAACCAACTCATGAATTACAAGTAGGAAAATGATATTGGTATTTTAGATAGAATCCGAATTAGACAAAAATACAACATAAAAAATTAATTACAAATAAAAATAGAATAAATTTTGGGCAAGTCAATTCAAAACAACTTCAATAGTATGTTGTTTCACGTATCTGTTATTTCATATGTTCCAAATAGTTAAATTGAAACAATAAAAGTACTTTCTGAAGCACCTAACATACAGATCTTGTATGGGATGTTAATTTGTCCTTTTTATTATGAAATAGCAGCTATGTAACATTGCCATTCCTTTTCAGATGTTAAGAAAGAGTATCCTTAACAATACATATATTAAGTGCTTTCAACTCTTGCGGTTATTAAGAAGGTCAAAAGTTAGGCTGGTTTTTTTTTTTAAATTGAATTTAAAACTGATTAGCAGTTGGGGAATCATATCTCCAATCTTCTTTTCTTTTGCAAGGCACTAAATTTAACTACGAAGTCCTATCAACCTCTATGAAAACAAGATCAAGCACAATTAAGACAGCAATAATAACAAAGAAAGTTCACTACATATAGCATCAGCAGATAACCAACAAGGAAATAAATATGTATCTCAAAACTGCAATATCCACCCAGCATTTATTGTGACGCAGCTAAAATACTGTTTAAATATCCTATTTCCCACTGACTTAGAAGCAGGTCAACCAACTTCCACTTCAGGACTAGAAGGTGGAAAACCTGTCCTCCATACAGAGTTTTCTCATGCATCATCTCTTGGTTGCTCATATTCATATCCTTCTGTTCAAATGGCTCCATGCCATTGAAAGGTGAAAAAGACAATGTTATCAAGACGGATAAATCTGGTACTAAACTAAGATATTAATAGGAATCTCCCAGTCACCTGGTGGAGAAATTGCAGCAAGTGTGGTTGATCCACTTCCACACTGAATTCTAGAACATGAACTGTGAAGTCATAAAATAGTTTGGGTTAGAAGGGATCTTAAAGATTATCTAGTTCCAACCCCCAAGTCAAGACAATCACAGAATTTGAATTCTCTATTTGTGAGACTAACCATGTATTAACTAATCACTAAAAACTGTTAAGAACACAAATCAGTGACTAACAGCCCAGAGTTTACTCATAGAGTATTACCTGGTCAAAGCAAAAATGTTTGTCAATTAAATGATAGTTGTTTGCTGAAGTGTTTATTTGTTTTAAATCCAACAAAGTTACAACAGTCCACTGACCTGTACTCAGGGTCTACAGAAGTTTGTAGCATACACTTAGGAACATGAATTTTAATTTTTTTTGGAAAGAGGGTAATTATTTTGGAATCAAAATCACCAAAATGAGATAGAATTACAGGACAAAGTAATAGAATTGAGCATTATTTTACTACCATTATTTAAAAATCCC